TAAAATGCTAGTTTATTACTTGGCTTTATGAGCTTTTAAAACAAAACACAAAAAAAAAACAGTTTCCGTTTGTTTTATTTTTGCGTCGCTGTGATTAACATTGATGAACAAAGTCGAGCAACTTTAGTAAGTTTGCTAGTGCAATGCTTTATGCAAAATGGCGTCGTATCATCGCGATCTTTATTACAAAAGGATTGGTAAAAAATTAAATTAGTTCAAGCCATTTATTCAGAAATTATGTCGATTGATGATAAGAAAAAATCAATTAAAACACACCCGCTCTGTTTTCTTGCTACATATTTTCTACAAAACATGTGTACAGAGCAAACATCCCTCCATCCGTCCACCTAAACATTGCATTTATAATATTTTTAAGAAGTAAGATTACTTAACCCTTAAATGCATATTGTTGCCAAAAGTCTACAAACAAAAGTATAGTTTTAATTAAAACCAAGATTTTTTAAATTATTCTTCCCCTAATCTGTGACTGAAACGTATATTCTGAAATATTTATTTCATAATTAAATAAAAATCATGCATTTAAGGGTTAAGCAACTGTTAAAGGGTATGAGAATCTCAGGTTTATGGGCTGTAAAGTTGGGCAGGTTTCAAATCAGTAATTACACTAATATTATAAATGCAAAATTTTAGATGGATGGATGGATTAATGTTTGTTGAAATTTGAAGCCTAAACTGGTGAACGGATTTCGACATAATTCGGCGGTCTGGAAGGGCACATAGGCTACTTACTTTTGTTGTTTAAAACCACGAAGACAAAGTGACGGGCGAAAGCTAGTTAACAAATAATTTATGTCCTGATGATATTACTTACGTTGCGAAAGTAAAGTTTTAAATGTATAAAAATGCCCCAAGACAAAAATCGTAGTAAACACTTTAGTTTTAACCTCAACTACTTTTATCTCATCTGCCACTCTAAACTGATATCATTTTATCTTAATCCACTTGTATCATGCATGTTACAGTAAAACCTTGATATTTGTTTACAGAATATAAAATAAAATTATCTATTTATAAAAAATAAACTAGCTAACTGGCATAATACAAAAAACCCAAGTTACTGGGTTCATAAATTAGAAATTTTTTTTTATAGAAGTGTTTCTAAGTATGCGGGCGAAGGGTTTGCTCAGCTATGAAATCTATAGTAGGGTATGAAAAAAAAAATATAACACAAATAGTAATAAAACAACACAAATTAACGTACATAGTTACATTAGCAGACGAGTTCATATATTTTGCTACATCATTTCTCATCGATCAGAGATGGGACAGTTTAAAGGACCAATTGAAGTGGACAGTGGTAGAGCCCGCTTTAACATCTTCAGTTTTAGTCCCTTTCCCCTTCCACCCTTTTCTTAAGAGGAAAGGATGGGAAGGAAAAGTGGAATTGACGGTGAATGAGACGCAAAGGAAGGGGAAATGTCTTTTTGTGCTTCTCCTCCTCCGTCAATTAAGGGTAGACAACGCATCTGCAAATGCGGATGTTTATGGGCAGCGGTCGCTTTCCGTTTCGATGGATACAGGTGGCCGCTTGCTCGTTTGCCACCTCATAATATAAAAAAAAAACAAAAGGTTTCATTAAATTTTTTACATATTGGCTCGATTGTGTAAGCAATCTTTTAAAATATCCAGGTCAAATAGCGCAACAGCAAGTGGCTATTGTAGAACAATCGTAGCAACAGATAAGGTATCAATACTTTCGATGTATCTTGCGTATCAATGATGCTCGTGTTTCTTTATCCCGCCTTGAGTGCATACACGTACTTCGTTACTATCGCTGTCATACGTATGGTTGGCACGTAGTACATCGGAAAACGTTGACCATAAATTTATATTAGTCTTCCCGTTATTTTATGCTAGCTTTTGGTAGCAACACTGTACGCGTGGAATTAGGACCTAGTACCCTTTGTGTTCTTTCAGATTATTATCTACATCTATGCCAAAAAGAAAAGAAAAGATCCAGTAAGACACTTAGTAACAAATACCCAAGCATCCATCTTAATGCATATATATTATTATAACAAGATTCTTACAAACGTATCTGTGATTATCTGTTTTAATTTAACTTTTAATGAACTTAATTATTATATTTTATTTTGTGTTTAAATTCTAGTCTGAATTTTACTAATTTAATTTTATTGTTTTTAATTAATATTAGAAAAATTGGGATATTCCTGTGATATAGTTAAGATTTAGGTGTTAATTTAGATTTAAACTTAGTATACTTTGAAATAAGAAACAGCCGCACCACAGCACGCACAGGTCCCTGATCAAAAAATACGTCAGGGGAACGACAGGGCGGCATAAAGTCGGCGGTCGGAAGCGACAATAATTTTATAGTTTAAGATATAATAGAACCTAATCTTTTCTGTACAGCTCTACTAGTCTATTCATAATGATCTTCAAAATTAATTGGGATATTTACAACAAATGTCTGTAAAATTCAAATAAACGTATAACTAGGGCGGTTGTCAAAATAACAGTCACTATGGTTACAGTCGTTACTCTATGGTCTTTGCCACTTTACAACCATTGGAAACGAATACAAACCTTCGAGTCACATATCGTATACGACGTCATTTACTACCAATAACTTTTGGTTCATTATGATAGTTCATTGACCTTAAAGACCGATCTCAATGTTGCTTTACTCGAAAACATCTTGTTAGACGATAGAGTAAGGCAATACTGTTCTCCAACGACAATTAATGTCTCTGTTTTTAAAAAAATAGACTATAAAATGTTTTTAATGTACTAAACGATACTTTATGGCATTAAAAGTGCTTAACGTAATTAATATTTTAATTATTCGAAAGAGAAATGAATCGAATTATTAAAAAGCCTGCAATATTAATTTTTCGTAAGATAGTACTTTTTGACAAACTTTCTAGAACAAAGTTCTAGACTATAGGGACACATTTTATCCTTCTGTAAGATGGACAAAAGGCAGAAGTAACTGTTAATAGGTGTACATAAAGGTTTATATAAATTGTAGTGGCACTAAACCGTAAAATACAGATTCTATGTACAGCAGTGTAGTAAAATAGCCAATAAAAATATTGATGGGTCTTTCCCACGTTGTAAGGATGATGCAATCGACTCATTGTCTAACTATCTAATGTTAGTACCGGTCTTAATATTTACTGATGTGGTACCTATCATGTATCGATATGAAAAAGATCGTGAACTGAGCATTTTGGAGTGTCATTTGCAAATTAATTTGCCAAGCGCATTATACATTTTTTCCTCAAGCGTACCTAAATCTAAAGATTGAATACTGATTTTGGGTCCGATGTATTTAACATGTTTATCATACTCCATACAATTGTTATAAAAGCGAAAGTTTAGATGGAAGGATTTTTGTAGCCTAAACGGCTTAACGGATTTCGATTACATTTGGTACAGATGTTAAGAATAGTTTGTTAGAACAAATAGTCTACTCACTTTTTTTTAAATCCACGCGGACGGAGTTGCAGGCAAAAGCTAGTAACTAATGATTTGTATTGACGTGTTAACTAACTCAACACAACACTAGCAACATGGTCCGATACCGATCACTTGAATTATCATTAATTGTCTCGCGGCTCGTACAAAGAATGAGTATCTGGTTCATACCAGTTCTCAGTTCGTAACACGAGTATTTTAATGAAAGGAATTCAGTATCAGAATTGCCACAAATGTGACCTAATAATTGATAAGGTTTCAATTACACTTTTACATTTTTTTAATATCAGTGATGTTTTGAATTAAAGATATTTGAAGTGTTTTTTTTTTTATTATTTAATATAAAAAGGAGGAAAATGCATGTTTTCCATTTTGTTTTACGTAGTTACTTATGTTAATAAAAGGTCATTGCGATATAACTGGTTTGTAAACTGGGACGAGTATATATCTGATGAGAGGTGCTATTTTACCGCCTCGCTAAAATAACGATTTTATTCACGATTGTACACAAATTCCTTTTTACGAATAAACTTGAAAAATAATCTTTGCTGTGATTTTTTTCATATAAAAATTGGCTTTGTTTAACCTTTCTAATTACACATTCCTATCTGACTAATATTAAAACGACTGAATAATTATTTATGTTTAGTAAATATGTGGAGGATAGTCATTAAAAAGTATGTTACGTCCTTTTCAATTCCACGCGAACGGAGTCGCTGTCGAAAGCTAGCTAGATAAATCTAAACAATTTAATAGCAATGATGACTCGTCTATTTTGCTTATACAAATATGGTAGTGTAGCGGAGAACGTAGGATGTGACGTCACGAGAGTCGGATGAGGCTGCGCAGTGATATTGATCCGTTGGGTACAGGCTGCGAGTAATTTGAACCACGGTTTTTATTATATAAACAAATTCCATAGCATACAAGATTAAACTAAGGGTGTGCATGATTAACTAAATATTTTCTTACTAGCTTTGGCCGCGACTCCGTCCTGGTAGAATTTAAGAAACAAAAGTAGCCAATGTATATAAGGCTATTATCTATGCTAAATTTTATCAAGATCCTTTCAGTAGTTTAGGCTACAAACTAAACAAACAAACATCCAACTAAAGTCGCTTAACATAAGTAAGATATATTATGAAAGTTACTGAAATGGAATAAATGGATTTAAAAATAAATTAGACTTAAAAACTATTTTAGCTTTCTAAACTTGTATCTAGTTAATACATTAAGTATTTCGGCCTTGTTATTTGTCAATACTGATAACTGAATCAGTTTGGGAGTTCCATTTAAAGACAATCGTTCTCACATCGGCCTTGGCTTTATTTATTATTTAGTGCAAAAACTATGAATAGAATCACAAGGCCGTACACTAATTCATTTAGGTTTTCATACAATTGTTCTCGTTGTACTGATTGTATCGAAGATTTTTGCTATAATAATATTAAGTATCATCAGAAATCGATAGGCTTATTGAATAACTTTTTATGTTTACATTAATTAAATATGTAAATATGTCTTATTTTCTTTTTCAGAAACTTCCATACCCAAAAGCAGTTGGGTTTATCGTGACAAATGAATTCTGTGAAAGATTTTGCTACTATGGGATGCGAAGTAAGTTCAATAAACTTTATCTACCTCTGTCGAAATAAAGTTTCTGTTTTTCGATACACCGGCACATGTTGAATGTAAGAGCGCGCTCACACCTGTGACTAAACTATCGCACAACTGTTTAATCTCGCTTTGATTACTAGCTTATATGGAGCTTATACGATTTTTAGTTGTGTAACTAAACAGTTGAATTGGCTACGAATCGACAATTGCACAATAGCATTGCGAGAGTTTAGTCAAAAGTGTGCGCCCGCTTTTATGATTGTAGTTTCATTTTTACTGCGGCTTTTTCGATCTCTGTCCGAATTGGCATGTCATCGGTCACGAACGAAATTCAATTTTCATACCGACTTTTATGCCAATATTTGAGGTTGTTCGACTTTCATTGTTATAACTTTTTATCATTGTTTTTGATTACATGTGTTTGAATGCCGAATGCAAAAAAAGGTATCTCTTGCTAACTCGAATAACAGGTTAGTCGTCTAATTTGCAGTGAGTTTGATTGTTAGTGAGATTTTAATTTCAATCGAGTTTATTTTAACTTCATAACTATCGATTACTAATGTCAAACTTTATTAGCTCACTGTACTTTATTTATTAAAGTAATTCGTAGATTCCAAACTCAATTTCTTCTGAAGGGTGATCTTAACTTGAACGTATCAGTCAACGTAAAGTGTTAACTACTCAACGTATCTTAAGAGATATCCTTGACTATATATCAGTTATTCACCTATATTTGACAAGTGGATTGACAACCTATATTATTATGAAGAACTCTAACAAACATCCATCCATTTAAACTTTCGCATTTACAATGTTAAGGTAAAAGTAGGTGATCCATGTTAAGGTTATAAATTCATCTTGTTTCCCTGACCATTAATTGGAAGTAATAAAATATCTAATACAATGTTAATTGTACAATTTTCCTCAGGGAATCATGTTAGTGCTAACCTCGTCCTTGCTTAGTCTGTCCTATTTACTCTTTATATTGCTGTAAGGAAAAACTACGGTAATATTCATATTATATACATTTCTGATAAATAATTTTTCAAGTAATTGTATGTTATTATATTTAAATTGTAAATTTTTATTAAGGTAAATAAAGATTCTTAAACTATAATTTAAATTGATATTGTTTTGTATAAACATTTTATCGAAGTAAACAAATATTGTGATAATTTAAGTAAGAATAAGTGTTATCAGCTTGTAAGTGATTTAAGTTATTAATGTTGCATAAGAATCAGTCGTAATTGTAACGATGTTCTAACAAATAGAGCATTGTTGTTTGAACAATACTCATTTAATTTCGTTTTAAATTACTTTTTAGAAAATAGATTTTACGATAACGTATTCAATGCTAATACATTACGAATTCAAGATACATGTGTTTTAACGACGAGTTTTCGCGAGCTAAAATCTCCTTACAAAAATGAAATATTGTTATCTCACTTTTTGAATGGGAAGGAAAGGGATGACTATGTTTTTGTACATGTATTTGAAAAAAATTACATAATAACTTTTATTGCACTTACATCGCTCTCGAGGGGAGAAATTTGTAAAGATTTTCTGACTTATTAATTTGTTACAGCGATTCTGTCATTATACCTTCGAGACAAGTTGGGATACTCGGACAATGGAGCCACCGTCATATACCATGTTTTTACAATGTTCGCCTATTTCTTCCCCTTGATCGGTGCTATGATCGCTGACGGATGGTTAGGCAGATTCAGGTAATTATCTGTTCCATATTTCACTATAATTCGAAACTTTTACTGCAATCAACACCTTATGTTAAGTCTCGTCTTTAATAGCGTGAGTAGCTGCTCGATTCGTACAGAGCTCAGTTGGGATTACTATAAGTAGTATCGTCTTATTTCGCGGCCTTGCAGTGAAAGAAAAATTGCCTATCAGTACATTCAATCAGCTCAAAGTCCGCTAAATGAAATATTATGATGATTATGTAATATTTTATAGTCTAAGCATGAAGCAATCTCGCTAGATTTGAATGAAAACAAAGCCATAAACGGGATCATACATTGACTAAAATCTATAGAAAACGAAATGGCCTATAGTAGAAAACATTTACACTTCTTTTGATAAAACCTTGGGATGCTTTTACAAATTTAATACACAAATCTAATGTTACATTTAATTGTTTCATTAATATAAACAAGACTTTCGAAATTAAACAATTTTATAAAAATATTCTATTATCTACTTTAACAAGTGTAAAACGCAAGCTAACACGTAATTCTTTTATTCGTGGAAATAGCTCGTAACGATAACTGTGGATTAAAAAAATGCCGAAGGCAAAACGGAGATGATTAATTTTCATTAAGCAATTAATATGCATTGTTTGCTGTAGCGGTAAAGAAATAAATTTATTCAATAGACAAGGAAAATTGACCGTCCTTTCAACATAAACAACTAATTTTCGCCCGCGATTCCGCCCGCGTGGAATAAAAAAAAACAAAAGCAAGTAGCCTATGTGTTCTTCCAGACTATCTTCTACATCTATGCCAAATTTCATGGAAATCCGTTCAGCTGTTTAGACTACAAACTATAACAAACATCCATCCATCCATCCATCTATCCATCTAAACTTTCACATTTGTAATAATAGTATGATATGATATGATTAGTATTGTTATATTGGTTCCTATTGTATTTAGATAGATATCCACGGATACAATGTTCTAATAGACATTGTGAAATTACTAACTAAAATAAACTTTTTCCGACAAAATAATTACAATATGATAACTAGTAGGAAAATGTAACAATAACTACAAAGTCAACGATAATGTCGACATTCCGGGTTAGTGCTAAGGTTAAATTGTAGTTTAGATCAATCAGACCAAGCTAGATTTGACTTAGGGTTATCATTTTAATCATTATATAAGAGATTTAATTTTTGTTACATGATAATGTAGAAACATTAAAATTTAATTTTCGCCGTTTCTTTACGAAAATGGGCCCTAAATTATGGTTCAAAGAGTTTGTTTTTGAGATTTGTATATATTTTATTATATTTTATTTCAGAACAATTTTCTACCTGTCTCTAGTTTACGCCACGGGTAGTGTCCTGATATCCCTAACAGCAATGCCACCACTGGATTTGCCAAAATTGTAAGCTCTTGTATACCTTTATAATTTTAAATCTATCTTGATTTTATATGGACCTAAAAGCATTGAAATTTTGTGTATTACACATTAACATTTTTTGTTAAATTTGAACGTAGCTGATAAATAAATTGAATATGTACTTGAAGGGTATTTACTTTTAGTATTTACCAGACTTTAGAGTTGTCGTGTCGATAGTACATAAGAGTTTTGTGTCGCAATTGTATGAAGACACTTGAACACATAACGATGTGTACGAGAACAATTTATTCAAGATCAATAAGATTCAACGTCCTGTCTCCCTGTATAGTAAGATTCAAATTTTATATCGGCTCGTGGTGGAACGTATGTTAGCAGCTAAGTGACGGATAACCACAGCGGGTGGAACAGTGAAGTGTTGCTCCCGAAGGGTTGCTCCATCATAGTGCCTTTACTTGCCGATGCTTATAATTGTTTTCTGTGCAATCATCATTACCAGCTCACTATACGTCCCCACAGAGGGGCTCCGAGGCTACCCTAAGTTATGGGACTTCTGTATAATACGCCAGCAATACAAAATTGCGAGCCGGCATAAAGTTTGGTCGATACTATACACTGCTGTATCCTTTTATTGATGGAAATTGGTGTCCTTGCTGCGGACATTTCTTGTCAATTGTGGTCCCCCTTCTCGTCTCTTCATTGTATGTATGTATTAATCGAACGTTATTTTACAGGGAATTTACAATCTTAGCTCTGCTTCTTATTGCATTCGGTACTGGTGGTATAAAGCCGTGTGTGTCAGCATTCGGTGGGGACCAGTTCAAGTTGCCAGAGCAGGAGAGATACCTCGGCTACTTCTTCTCTCTCTTCTACTTCTCTATTAACGCGGGCAGTCTCATCTCTACCTTCCTAACTCCGATCCTGAGAGCAGATGTGCACTGTTTCGGAGAAAATGATTGCTACTCTCTTGCGTTTGGTGTTCCTGGTTTACTAATGATTGTTTCTATAGGTGAGTTTATAAGCTTTAAGTTGTTATATTATCATATCAAGAGTTTTAAAACGGAATAATACGTTTTCTTATTAACTCTGCTATGTCGTTTCATTGTATTATGATTGAGAAAAGTAGATAGGCTGTCTTTTCGCTTTTGATAACTCAAAAACACATTTTAATGTTCGAATACTACTTTGTTTAATTTTGTAATTCATGTAAGAGCTTAGCTTTTTAATCTTAAAGGCAACAATAGTGTTACAGCTTACACAAAACCGCCTGATGAAGTGTAACAATAAATAGCAAATAAATTTAAAAGTTTGCTTTTCCAGTGTTCTTTGTTGCGGGAAAACGGCTTTATATTATCAAGAATCCCGCCGGCAACGTGCTAGGCAACGTCTCAGCTTGTGTCGGAGTGAGTAATAACTTCCACTTTCCTATTAAAACTTTCCAATACCGGTCTTAGAGGGTTTTAATTAAAATCCCGTCTATAAACGACGCCTGAAATATCAGCTACCGCTGCCTACGTCTATTATGCGGCATAAATTCTAGTTAAGCCCAACAATTGGTTGACTTTAGTTTAAATTATTCTCACATAATATATTGTAGTTAAAATTATTTCAACATTGAATAGACTTCACGTATAAATATTTATATACAATCAGAAAATTCGTTGTTGTAATAAATAAATTTGAGTGTACATTTAAAAGATCTTAACTTCCGACTGTAAGGATGCTAAGTAGGAATGGATTGCTGTTTCTTTTCGTTCGGTATAAAGTAAACACTTATTTGTATAGAACCTACTCCTAAAGAAATTTCTCCTGAGTGAAGAGGGACGTGATATTTTTTTATAAACACACGTGTCTTGTTCAACAGCATGCGTTAGTCCAATCTAAGAAAAGCAAGGAGAAGCGAGAGCACTGGCTGGACCACGCGGATGACAAATACGATTCGAGTCTCATTGAAGATATCAAAGGTCTGTTAAGAGTTCTCGTACTCTTCATTCCTTTGCCGATCTTTTGGGCGCTCTTCGATCAACAGGTATTTACAAGATTGTTTTTTGAATTTTGCCCGACTGACACGAGGTTATTTGGCCGCTACGCATGTATGTTCTTTTCCATGTGATGGGATAATTTTGTTTTGTTAAAATGTGATTTTAATTTTTTAAAAACAGTAATTGATTTGCATTAGTTCGAATTTGATATTTAAAACTAGTATAGTTTAGAGATTAAATTAATTTTTACTTCTTGGTAAGTTGCTGGCTTGCGAAACTATCGAGTTGAATGACAAGTTGTGAGCTATATATGGATATTTATTATTCGCATAAAGACGTTATAGAATATCAGCGATAACGTTAATTATAAATCTTGCTAATAACATTGAATCATGTGACATCCTTTGGCATAACTCTTACACTAATGAGCTATTCTGTAAAAATTTAAATAATCATCATTAAGAATTATAAAAAAAATAATAATTTTCATTATTTGTAAAAGAACGAGACTTAATACCACCGGGTCACTTAAGTTAGTGGAACTATAAGACAAAATTAAGAGAGAAAAATGTGTTTAGATCGTGTCAAATTAATCAGTAGGTGAAATTTTTGGTGCTCTTATAGTATTTTTTTTAATATAGTTAATTTGATTTAGGGTTCAAGATGGACTTTCCAAGCTGATAGAATGTATCAGGAAATCGGAAGTTGGACCCTGAAAGCGGATCAGATGCAAGTGCTAAATCCTTTACTCATTTTAGTCTTCATCCCTCTCTTCGAAGTGGTAAGTTGACAATATCTCATTGAAATACTGACATTAAAATATGTACATAATAGAAAGTTTCTACTACCGAATGCCTTATAAACATGATATTATCTCTGTTTTTTTCTAAAGAGATGAGAGACAGTATCATAACTTCTTACAGTGGTAGAGCCTGCTTTAACATCTTCGCACAAATGAACCGGCTCGCCCGGTGTAATATCATAACCACACAGAAAACAGGCGTGACGTGGAAGCAATTCCGCCTTTCGTCCGATGAGTCGCCGGAGGCCTAATTTTAGTCTCTTTTCCTTTCCACCCTTTCTTTAAGAGGAAAGTATAGAAAGGAAAAGTGGGTTTGACGGTGGAGGAGAAGCATGTGAAGGGGAAATGTCCTCTTTATGTGCGTCTCCTCCTCCGTCAATTAAGGGTAGACAACGCATCTGCAATTGCGGATGTTTATGGGCAGCGGTCGCTTTCCATTTCGGTGGATTCAGGTGGCCGCTTGTTTGTTTGACACCTTATATTATAAAAAAAGAAATATCGGCAATATGGAAATACACTATAACTAGTATAAAGAAACAAGATCAAGTATTAGTGTAGAGAAAATCTAATAAATAATGTATCATTCTACAAAACATAGGTTAATTGCTTCGATGCAGAAATTTAAACGTCGAAATAAAAACTTTAGCTCGCGAAATTATAACCGAGGTATTATTTTAAAAAGTATATTGTTAAATGCAACGCCGTGTTAATTGTAGCGTTACTTTTTCATTTCATTTTATGTTTTTTTTAAACTTGCCCTATTAATTCATATTTGTATTTCCTCAACACTTTATTATTATTGAAAATGTTTACATTTCTGTGCAATAAATTTGACTTCGTAATTAAAATCATAATATTAACAATTGACAGAGCCAAAACTAATTACTACAGCACAAAATTAATTTCACAAAACACCTGACGGGTGAAAAGCTGCGGTCGCCTGTAGTAATTGCTAATTATGCAACCAATTAATTGACTGGCAAAATTTACAATTGTTATATTAAAAAGGTTCACTTAAACGTTTAAAATTATTGACAAGTACAAAAAAATACGGTTTATTCCAATTCATTGCTTCTTTTTATTTAAATATATTTATTATTTCAGTCAATTTATAATACTGTCGTACTCAAAGCTGTTATCTGGCTATTAAGATACGCTCTTAGATTATACTTTAGAAATCTACACTAAGCGACTAATTAAATAACCTTTATACAGGTGGTAGTTAGTCATATTCAATGCTTTAATCGAATCAAGAATATTGATATAGCCACTCGTATGTGATCTACATTTTTAAACCGTACTTCTAGTTTTCAGTTTTTTTTTCTTTTTTATATACTTAACCCTTATAACAGGCCATTTATCCGTTCCTGACGTGGTGCAAGCTGATAAGGAAACCTTTGCACAAAATGATCTGGGGTGGTATTCTGGCTGCCGCCGCTTTTGTCATTTCTGGGATTGTTGAATTGAATCTTTTGGTAAATAATCTATTATTTTTATTGGTTTATGTAAATAATCAATTCTTGCTAACATGTTCTTCTTCACTTCTTTCCAGCCTACTTACGGTACACCAGTATCGGACGGGTTGGCACAACTTAGAGTTTTTAATGGATTTAATTGCAACATAACTTTAAATGTTTACAATCCAGCAGAAAACACTACCGATAAAGTTATAATAGATGCTCTGGGAGTTTATGAAAAACTGGATATCGAAGCACATCACCAAATAGAATTGCCTTACTCTCTGAGAGGTGGAAATAAGAGCGATTGTATGGACGTTAATTATGATGGAAAACTGGTATTAAAAGAGAAAACCGCAAATTCGTTCTTCGTCTCAAATTATGGTGTTTCGCAATATGATGATAATAACGATAAGGCTATTGACGGAGTAAAAGTTAGGTGAGATAATGTTATGTATAGTAAAATGAAGAGTATTTTGTCTTGCTAACTTTATTTAAAAATATCAAGTCTTCATTGTTACAAGTACTAATAGAGGAGGTAACATACCTACCTATATATTGTAACAGTTATTTGCTAATAACTGATTACTTTTTAAATTATAATTTTTAGATCAGTACTACAACTCGTCGTGGAATTTTTCGCAATTTTCTTTAGCATAAAATTTACTGTATATGTCATTCCAAAATTTATAGGCACTTTTTTCTATTTCAGAATTAGATAATTTGTTTTCTTTACCAATAATAAAGATGTTATCTTCTTTTATGGACATTGGAAGCCACGTAACATTGCCATTACTGTTGTGATGTGGGTCACCAAATTTTGCAAAGTTCGCCCACATCTTGGCTATTTGCTGGATTAAAATTCTATCTGGGTCGTTGATGTCGTGTCTCAACTTAACGTAACTCTCCCAAAGTGGCTCGCATTTTAGAATATAACATATTTCATCACCTCCCGCTGCACCTTTTATCACTGTATTCGACCCAGTTAAAGAGTTTGTTTTCATAACATTGAAATTTCCTTCGTAGTCAAATTTGTATACGTAAAACTTCTTTTGGACAGCTAAATAATTTTGTATAAATTTGTATATCGGATAGATTTGCAGTTCATTAGCGTAATAAAGAAAGTCATGTATTGACTTCTCAGAAATCCCTTTATTAAAATATCTTTCTCTTATTCTTTTCGCGACTCTTTTATAAGACTTGGAAGTCAGATTAAATTTACAACCGCGAGTAAAAGGTACCATATATTTGAAAGAAGAATTGAGGGTTCTTAAATAACGGGAATTATGTATAAGTGGCGTGACTTCAGACATACTTTCCTGGCTATTAAAACCAATCAGAATTGGAACACGAAAACCGATTGTTTTGCTTTCTTTATACATGTCATAAGAATATTCAGATATCACTGACCGGTTTGATTTTTTCTCGATTATTGGCGTAAACGGAACAACTGGTTTTTGAAAGTTGATTACTTCCTTTTTCGTATAAATGTTCTCTGCAACTAAAGCTATATCTTTGGTAGACGCTTTAACTATATTATTAATACCTTTATCTTTGAGTTTATTTATTAGCCGTTTTCTTTCTAAATCATAATCAATTTGAAATATGGACGGAGAATACAAGCTTCCGCTTTGTAATATAGCTTTGGAAAATAGTTTTTTATATTTCGACATTAATAATGTAATCAGTGTAGCCGCGGATCCGCTACCCATGATTGTGATTTTGTTTTTATCCCCACCGAATTTTTTTATATTTCTTCGTATCCATTTCAATGCGATTACAATATCTTTCGAGCCCATATTAGCATTCGTATCATCTTTTAATTTCAAAAAACCAAAAACACCAATTCTATATGTTAAACTAATAAATATTACGTCGTTTTCTATTAAAAAGTCAGGACCATGTATGTGACTAAAACTAGAAGTGAATGCGTAACCATGAATCCATACAATTACTGTTTTTAAATCTCCCTTTAAGGTGTCATATAATTCGGGTGTATAGATATTTAAATTAAGACAATTTTCATAACCGAATAATGCATGTTTATGCACAATGTGTACCTGGGCACAAGCACCGTGATATTCTGTCCTAGCGTCATAAGGTTTCTTCCATTTCTTAACTGGCTTCGGGTCTTTAAATCGAAGTTTTCCAATGGGCACACTTGCGTAAGGTACTCCGTAAAACGCGTAGTACAATTTTTCATCGAATACTGTCGATGCCCTTGTTCCTAAGAGCGTTCCTTGTTCTATCAATACTTCAACACTTTGAGATTTTACAATAAATATAATTATTACCCAAATATCGGAGAGCGAACATTTCATTTCAGTGATAAAAACGTCCACTACGACAAAAGCAACGTTATAATTAAATTTGTTATTATTCCTACGTTTACAGTTATAACAAAATGAAACGCAATGCGTTCTATAAACAATCTTAACAAGTTTAAGATAAAAAATAACTAAGTCAAAACCTGAATAAAGATGGATACATTGAATAATAATTAACATTTTGGATCTAATATACAATAGCTATTGTAAATGAATAAGTCAGAATTCGTTACCAAAATCGAATTGAAAATAAACTTGTTTCTTACTATGGTTTTTTTATGTTTAGATTTTTATCAAACACATTTTCCTTGATACGAATAATGATGCAAGATAAAAAGAATCGAACAAAGTTGAACATTACTACTGATGACAAACTTCAAGCATCCTTAGAAAAAGGTACTTATGACATCATAGTGGATGGAGTGTTAGTGATGCAAGAGGTTTCTTTGAAGACGGGAGCCGTTTACGCGATACCATTGTATGAAGACAACGGAGGAAACTTTGTAAGTACATGAAGCAATCTTATTTCATATAATAATCGATGGTAGCGAAACCGCTTGGTTATAAGAATTAACAGTGGCAGTGCCCGCTTTAACATCTTAGCACTGCAGGACCGGCACGCCCGGTGTAATACCACGACCACACAGAAGACAGGCATGAAATGGAAGCAATTCCGCATTTCGTCTGATGAGTGTGGTGCCGGAGGCCTAATTTAAGTCCCTTTCTCTTTACCACCCTTTTCTTATAAGAAGAGGATGGGAAGGAGAAGTGGATTTGACGGAGGCGATACATAGATAGGGGAAATATCCTCTTTATGTGCATCTCCTCTGTCGGATAAGGGTAGCCAACGCATCTGCAATTGCGGATGTCTATGGGCAGCGTTCGCTTCGCCATTTTGGCGGAGTCAGGTGGCCGTTTGCTCGTTTGCGACCTTATGTTATAAAAAAAAATATCCAACAGAGTTATTCAAATGGTCTGACGATAGAAATTCATCGTCATAACCCAATGCGATTTAACAGGAATTCTTAGTTATTTGAAAATAAAAATTTAAATTTTTGACTTCTTAAAATCCATTTGATTGATGAAATATTAATTACCAACAGTACATGGACATACTAACAATTACACCGCCGAACAGCTTGCATATACTGTGGCTGGTGCCGCAGTACGTGATCATGACGATGGGAGAAGTGATGTTCTCTGTAACTGGGCTCGAGTTCTCTTTCACACAAGCTCCCGCTAGTATGAAGTCCGTGTTGCAGTCGGTTTGGCTTCTCACTGTTGCATTCGGGAACCTTATCGTCGTGCTCATCGTTGAAGGAAACTTTTTAGATGCTCAGGTAATGACATTAATTTTATTGCCGCACTACAGACTACTTAAACACTTCCTTAGTATATATTTCTTAACCTAAATGTATTTAAGGGTCTCGCTTAAACTAATTTAAATGCGGCAATTCGGTTATTAAAAACCTGTCAACCGACGGCTGGTCAGGGATCGTAAGGTACAGATTGATAAAGAAATCAAATGATTATTCTTATCTTGCATAGACTTTAACTGACTTTGACTTTTCCACTGTCGAAACATGAACAGTAAGCGTATTATTAACAGTATATTTATGTTACGTAAAATTCTGGATTAGGCCGAATTTAAAAATCCTTTCACCATTAGAATGATACACATGAAATAGGTTTGTATTTAACAATCCTAACAAATTGTTTAAGAAGTAAATTTCCACTGGTGGGAAGATGGCAGGAATTAGCGTGAAGCCAGTGGACCATCTGGGTAATTACTCGTATATTAAAAACGATATATTTATTTCAGTGGAAGGAGTTCTTCCTTTTCGCGGGGCTGATGTTATTAGATATGTTAATATTCACCGTAATGGCGCTTCGCTACAAATACGTGGAACTCAAATCCAGCACCGAAGATCTGGCAAACTTGGAGTTCAAAATGGTCGAGAAAAATGAGCCTAAGAGCAATTAGATTTTACTATTATAATTAGTGTAACAAAGACTTGTTTAATATTAATATATTTCATTTTTTGCCTTAAAAGGTGTTTTTTTTAATGCGTACTTAATAGTTTTTATTAAAGGATTACACTATCTTATTAAAAAACACTTATTTTGTATAAAACAAAAAGTCATTCAAAAATGAGATGCATTACATATCCCGATCATACTATCGGATGCCGGAAGCGACGGTACATTTTCACATCAAACGTTCTAACTTTCAATCTGTTTAGTTAAATGGCATGAACGAATTAAACAATTAGCTATGGATAATTTGTGTGTTGTTCCCATAGGACCCTGAGGTTTGTACTTGTTGGGGATGAGTCATGTGACGGTGGTTTACCCTCTGTATTCTATTGTCAACGATAAGTAGGGTCGCTTCCAAACTGTTCTCAAACATTTAAAATGTTCAACCAAAAATTATTTTCATTTACAATACTACAAAAGTTGAATTGGTTCATGTAACTGTAGACTAATTATTCATTTTATAAATATTGAAGTGCAGTAATTCGATTTAATAGCCATTCAATTCTGAAGTACCTACTAACTCTAGTTCCTACACCTTCACATCATAATGTTTGTATCTGAGTGTGGATTTCCAAACAAATAATCTAAATTTCTAGATATCTCATATCTAAACTATTTATAATACTCTAAATGCTACAAAAATAAACAGATAAAACTAAATAAGCCTAAAACTGTGATTTGAGAACCGCTGGATACAATTGAAGTGAACGAGCCTGCCGACGACTTGTTAATAATTGCGTATAATAAATGCTTAAATACAACAAACATACAGACAAATAGGGGCTGGGGTCGGAAGATAAAAGAAAACGATTTAGTTTTCGCTCTATTGATAAATCGTTGAAAACTTTATTTTTTATTTTTGTCGAAATTTGCAAAACATACCGTTCATATTTTAAAATAATGTTTTTTTATTATACGTAAATAATTAATAAAATATTATAAGTAAGTCTAATTATTTCAATATTTGTGGAGATTGTATCGATAAAAAGATGGAAATAAATAATGCTTAAAAAATATCATGTCAAGATTTAAAAAGGCAAATCGAATAAATTACTCCACAAAATGTAGTTGCCGGTTTCCAAGCTACGTTTAACCATTAGTTAAAATTTTTGGTTAGATAACTTCATGAAATGTGTTTTCGAACTATGTAACTTGAGTTATACTTCATTGAAACTCAGGTCAATCATACACTAATGAATCACTAGGTCGCGATAAAATAAATTGAAACTTCAGAAACCCAGCATAAACGATCTTTTTACTTATAAATTTTATCTTCAATTATTTTTAGAATAGTGTTTATGGTCACACTAATTTAAAAATTAAAATTTAAATTTAACTTCTAGAAGTGTGCCCATCTAAAGATTTGTTAATTGTATCAAAATAAAAATAAAAATACATTTTAGTCAAGTAGCAATCAAAATTGCTCTAAAAATAATAATAACAGTGTTTACAACTATACCAGCTCACGTATTAATTAAGTGCAGTCAGAAAAACATTTCCAGTGGTAGGCGTCGGAATATGTTCCGGGTACTTTGATAGGCGCGTGCGAGCCGCGTGCCACTAGGGCCCCCAGCTAGGACTCCGCTGTTAGGGCTGCTCCTCCGTGGTCCATATACAAAGGAACTCGAACCACGTGCACTCCAAGGATAATCCCGAATCGGCATATGCACGCAAATAAATAAATTAACCAAAAACCTACCGACAAACGCCAGCGACTATAGACTGTTGGTTTTGAATTTAAATTAATTCCAGTATAAAATCAAATTCACTCCGATTTAAAATAAATCGTAACTAAATCGAGACTATTTTAGAGATTGCGCGTTTTTCCTTGAATTGCCTACGTTTACCCTTTAAAAAAATCCTTGACGAAAGTTAATTTCTTGCGTAAAAATCTTCTTTGTTCCATTCCTGTAGAGTTATATTTGGAAGGTCGGAAAGTTTAAAAAAGTTACCTCCGCCGACTTTGTGACATTTCAATTAAGGCAGCCGCTTAAACGACTTGTTTTTAGAAATGTTTGCAACTTGCGAAAAAGTTCTAAAAAGGTAATTGGCAAACATTTTGCCCAGATATATTTGTAAACAATTAGACGGAAATATTTCAACATGGCTACAAGATTGCGATCAGTGACGTACGAACATTACTAACAGACATCGTCAAAAACCAATTCAATGCAAACATATTCAGTAAATCACTTCACATTAACATCTGCGTTGGGTGACAAGGCACTCGGCGTAAACCGACAAGAGCTCTCACACGAAAAACTATCAAACGCGTTCAAAGAGGGCGTGGTCGTGCAGCGTGTCAGTCGCGCGACAAACGCATGGTGGTCGCGTGCCACGACAATCGCACGTCCACCGTCCCCGGCAGTCACTCGCCGCGACAAATCAATTACAGGGGTCAACCCGGCCACGACTCCCGGATGGGAATTAGCACCAAATTATAGCTGTTGCGCGAATTACTTGTTTACAGTTAGGGCGCTACGCTAATTTGTAGACGAAACGATGCAAATTGTAGCGTAGCTGCTTGTAACTGAAGTACAAGGTTTAACCCTCTTGATGACAACTTTTACATATTTGCTTCTAAATGTATATTTATTGTTTCAAGCTGCGGGCGATGTTTTTTTTTTAATTTAATTCAAGATATATAATGAAATATGAAAATAAATACAATTAATTTCGCTTTAGAAGCGTCCGAGAGGCGGTAACATAAATGCTCTTAGCTTTTACCAGGAATATGTAATTTAAAGTCTACTTCGTGAGTTAAAAATAAAAGGCAAAGTTTATTGTTATTGAGAATGTTTTGTGCTGCAATATTTACTTAAATCTTTCTATTTTAATTTTACCTAGGGGTTGTGAAAAGTAAAAAACCGTGGTTTGAATAATGTAGTACATTGTATTATCAAGTTGCATTTTTATTATCATCCAATCTTCATAGAAGTCTTATGTTAATTTTATTCCTTTCACATTAGGTCGGTTCTTTTAAGAAGGTTTTAGTGACTAATTTGTCCAAATTTTGTTTTTTTTTTATTCAGTGGTTGGATGTATTTGTCCCCTACGTATTATCCAAAAAGAAGACAAAATGTCTTAAAAATTTCAATGAAAACACATATTCAAACTATTTTAGTGTTTATAATTTCATATCTTAACGTTACAAGTCATGTCAGTTTTCTTAAAAAATACTTTAAGATAGTTTTAAGGCAACAATATTTCTGAAGACGGATCACCTAGGGGGATACCGTATTGGAGTTTGCAAGGGAGCTGGGCAGCCTCTTGGAAACAGCTACATGTTCTCCAACTGTCAAATGCAGTCGACTTTCGTCCAATGAGAGAGAGTATTCGGCATTGATCCACCGTCTCTCCCAGAGCGACAAAACAATTGGTAGACTGAGAAAATGTCGCAACGGAAATTTAGGAGACATTACATATAAATTTGAGATTTAAGAATTAAATACTACCAGAAAGTACTATAATTTTTATCCTTGTAGGTTAAACGAAAAAATTGTACTTTTTTTTTAAATTTCATAACGGATGAATGTGAAATCAGAAATCTAACCCCGTAGTCATTGATAAGGGAATAATATAATGTAAAAGATATTTAACATATGGACCAATAGTAATGATAAACTTTACGGTATTTTAGTAACTGCTATGTACTTCGTAACGAGAAAATAAAAATGTCTTACTGGTTTTAAAAAAAAACAACAGCCTAAAATGTAGATCTGGTAAAAGAATAGATAAAACGGGATAGATACCCCAACGAAGTATGAAAGTGATACCTGGTTCCTTGATAAATACATGGTAACCAAGAATTTCTCGTGTAAAATTTGAAGTATTACTCGTATATGTAATTGACGCTCTAGAGCTTCTCCATTGTTTTAATAATTGTGATCCTTTGTATGCAATTGAACACTATAATTAATATTCCTTACCACTAACAACTAGAATGCTAAAGCCCAATACAATTTAGAAACAAATTAAAATTAATATCTGTAAATCTGCTCCTACTAAGAAGGGAAAAAGGTAAAAAAAATATAAAAACGACTTCCAATATATATTACTTTAAAGAAATAACAGTTAATGTTACTGACACTTTATTAGATTATAATTAACGCTGTTTTCTGTACGAGCTGTTATAAAAAGAGGCAAAAAGTTATGGTTACTCGGAAAAGGAAAACGAATGAAATTCTAATTGAAATTCCACTTAAAAATTAATACTTACGTAACTGTTTACTTTCTAGAAGATCGCCAAATAACATTTCCACTGTTCTACCACAAAATCGTTCGGTGGCCCAGCCCCTTTACGCCTTAATATTAAGCGAACCGCCCCTCCACAGGGGGATGGGAGACTCAAAAGCACACTAACCCGCACTGTGGTATCCTAAAATAGTCGTTGTTTCAACCCAATAAACTCTACAATCGATTAACCTCGCTACCCACCCCAAAACACACCATCGCGACACACGCAATAAAATACGGAGCCCGTGGGGTATAAATTTATTTTACTGGCAAATCTTCCCCAGTACATTTCAGGTTACCGGCTGAAGTGTATTGTACAGTAATTTTTCCAAAGTGAGTGTAGTCGTTCATGATGTCTGGAGCAAGAACTCAAATCGCAGACTCGTCAACATCACCATCTTTAAAGTAAATATTAATATGTTACTAGTATGTTCTTACTTTTTTTTTTTTGGATTTACCTCAATTTAAGTACTACAATTTTTTTATTTTATTTCGTAGTGACAACCGACACTTAGACTTCAGTGGCTTAAAGTTTTCATACCCTGATGGGTCTGACGAGGAAAGCAGTTCGATGACTCCGGAGCTGCCGTCTTGTGTCTATGCTGCTGCCCGAAGCCGTCTGCAGCTGCCTTTAGCAGCCTACGTACACCAACACACACGGCAAATGCATACAGGTAAGATACATTTTTGTAAAATAAGTGAAATCACAGGTAGCCATAAGGCTATAGGCTATAGACTATAGGCATAAGCCTATTATCGCCAATGTTAACATAACATAGCGTGCGCCCGTGTTACTGAATGCGAAGGCAGGATAAAACATTTTCCTGGGGTCGCCTTGATTAGATATCGATTGTAAATCGATTTCTTTGTGTCACATTCACATTTTCCTGGGGTCGTGTAGAAGTGCAGTGTAGATGTTAGAAGTGCGTTCCATGGGATCATGAGATAATTTTCATTTGAAATTAACGACAGAGGCAGTTTTAATGGTCTTTTAGATTTCCATCCCGATTGCAAAAGAATTAACCTAAAGTTTGATCATATCAACCCATAACTGTGAGTTTCCAGTATGGTACACTTAAAAGAAATAAAAATATTGTGTTTTAACGAACATTTTGACGGCGGAATTTCACCTAAAACAAATTAATATAAAGATACTTTAATTCAATTAAAAAAATAAAACCAGATAAATATGCTTTACAAATTTAAAACGTTGTTTTGTACATCATCTACTAAAGTATATTACGTGTTGCTAGCTTGCTAGTACGTTTCCGTGGAATTAAAAAAAAACAATAAAAAATATAGGCTATGTTATTCACTGATATCGTAGCTTTTTAATAGTGATAGAATTTTAAAAATAAAATTTCACCGATTACAAAAATAAAACTTACTTAAACTGAACAAAAAATTTGCATTCATTTTTATTTCACTGTTGCCGATTTGTCCATCAATGTCGAACGCGTTTACGAAGAGCATAAAAATCGTGTTACAAAATCGCAATGAATAACACCGCCAATTTTGGTTGAATAGAAAAATGATTTTACTTTAAAATTTCGGAATTTAAGCAAATCCATAGAAATTATTGGTGTCATATCCATAATTCGATGCATTGACTGATGATAATTTCATTTGCCTTTGTACATAAACTATATAAACATTATGCCGTAACACACATAAAAAAAAAACATACAGACGAATGGAGTACCTCCTTCTTTTGGGAAGTTGGCCAAAAGTAATGTATTGTAAATGGCGGCTATCAATTTAATTTTGTAATAACAATATATTGCATAATGTTGGAAAAAGTTGGCTTCCGCTAAAGAGAACCTAGCACATTACGTCGCGGTCTAAAGATCTCGAAGACCACTAAACTTTCTTTAAGAGAATTTACTAAGCTAACGCGCTATAACATCAGGTGAGTTCGAAGTAACATGTTAGTCTTTTCGTTACAAAAATATTGAGCATCGAGAAGGATTTCTAGTGAAAATGTAATAGTTGTAAATAACGGATTTCTGAAGACTACGACTACCGTTGACGAGTATAGGCTGGTTTAAAACATCTCTTTGTTACAGAAGCGTTACTGGAAGCGTCAGTCGAGCCGGAATACCAGTGCGGCGGATCGCCATACCGCGTCCAGAGAGCCGCAGCCAATGTGCGGGAGCGTCGCCGCATGCTGAGGTCCGGCCCCAATGGGTAGCCCTTTTCATTGTATCAAACTATTTTAGCCCGTCGTACGTGTACAGCTTAAAGCAACAGCGGCGATCGTGTTATAACTCTAAAAAATACCGCCCGCCGTCACTACGCGGCTTAAAACTGTCCATGTAAGGCAGCCGTAATATTATGTCTACGTCACTTGATCTTTTTTTAATAATTAGCATTTTGTCTTCTTCAGTAAGTAGACGAGTAGTTGCATAGCTACTCTTCTAGCACACCGACCGAAATTTGCCTTGGTCTCCGCTAAAACATTGCTTTAGAACATAAGCCCATTCTTACATTGTCATAAACATGATTGAAATGACCTAAACAGTTTTTAGATCAGTCGGTCAGTCCAAAATATAATAGTGATATAAGTGACCTATATTTTCAATAGTGCCAATAAACCAAATTTATTAAAATAAATTAACCTAACAAGCGTCGTCTCTTTGTTGTGAAAACAACAAAAAATAATCGCAATATTTCGCGGTATTTTATGGTGTCTAAAATCAATTAGTCCATTTTCAAAATAATGAAACGCAATGTACAGAATCCAAAACAGCAATGCACTGGAGTTGTATATAAAACTTGTATGAATGTGGTCCATTCTGGCTATTTATACAGGAAAAGGTTCAATTCTCATAAACCGAATCTAACATAAAGACCACATTTCGTTTCGATTCGCTACTTCCCTTTTCCGCTGTGTTATGTAACAGCTCGGATACGAGTTTCACACTATAAATAAACTTCCAGCTATTAAGATATTTAGATACAATACTCATGAATTGGTAGCGAATCTTTTAGTTTTGTCACTCCATTTTCTAAAACGGTGGTGTTTTGTTGTGATTTTAGCAGTATAAACTCGGCGTTCGACGAACTGCGCGTCCATGTGCCGACTTTCCCGTACGAGAAGCGACTTAGCAAGATCGACACACTGCGTCTGGCGATAGCGTACATAGCCCTTCTTAGAGAGGTTACTATTTCACTTCCAAAAACATTTCTCTTAATCTTGACTAGGGTTGCCAAAAACTGTAGGTAATTTTTCTCTTCGCCATATAAGTGGAGAGCAAAATATGTGCATACGTGCGTCACCTTTCTTTGAAAAATTATAAAACATCAAGCATGTTGTATGAATTTGGGCAACCCTGATGTGAATGGCCAACTTGTATGTTTGACATCGAATATGCTTATCGATAAGATATACTGAGCCCTGGTTATAAGACTGTAAGTTTAAAGCATTACTTTATTCCTTTAGGTCTTGGACGCTGAATACGATCCTTTGACGTATGTAGAGAAATGTCTCCGCGGTGAAATCAAGGCCGATCGCGCGCATTGGAATACAAGCGGTAAGTAATATTATCTATTTGATCAAATTGTCTCGAATGTCTGCTTATACTGCATTTTATTTCCATAGACATTATAACTTCGTTTTAGAAAGCAAGAATCTAGTTCAAGGTCTTATTAACTGCATGTCAACATAATACGTGATCGTTAAACTTGACCGTGGATTTAAACAGAATGAAAAGATGTCAATGTTGTTTAACAGTTGTAACGACAGTGGAGACTCACTAATACACACCTACAATGTTCTACAGGACAGTACTATTATACATTCTATAACATTTGAATTTGTACAGTTGCGGAATGCCGCGGTGTTCCACTTCAGGAAAAATTGCCTTCTTAGATAAATAACTAATTAGATAGCAGTGAGTGTGGTACAGATACATTTATAAATTGCGTTATATTGGTTTTTGTTCCGAGTCTCGTTCTAAAATGATCAAACGATTGTAGCTTTTAAAGGGGGACCACCGACAGTTGTCCCGACTGTACATGTTACTCGGGCGTTACATTGGCTAGATAGACCCTATCAGATGGCGATGGACGTTTAATTCAATCAATATTTAATTTTGTTAATTACAGATCTCACTGCCCGCCTGTCTTGGATAAATTGGGAAAACCTCGGCGTCAACCCACAACGTCGCAGCATCCTTACATCCCTTGCTCTAAGCTCGGAGAACTTGCAGTACGCTCACAATTAAATATTATACCTTATACCTTAGGCCTTGCCAGCTTTTCTCTAAGTCGTTTAATATGATCTTTATCCAATTATAGTGAGTTAAATCTAGTCATTTTAATGAGTTTTTTAAATATTGAAATAGTTGAAATTCAGATTTATTTACATATTTAACAAGCATAACAGATTTTAGTAGTGTTGTCACTTGCAAATTTTTCTCTGTACAATCTAGTCTACATAATATTGTTTAGTCTACCTTCGATTTCCACTGACAATATGTCATTGGTTTAAAAAACTTCTACACTTGTGTTACGGTAGTGGAAACCTACGGCAACAGTAAACAGTACGGTGATATTAAAATAGAAAACTGTTATTTATATTATCGATATTGCTATATTTATTCTTAATACTGTAATGATGTTTTGTGTTGAAAGCTTCAATGTTTATATAGTTTTGTCTTCCAAATACACAAAAAAAAACCTATCGCTTTTACTAAGCTTCTAATTGTTAATAATAGTAATTAAATAGAAAAAAACCGGTGCAATATAGATTAAATTTAATTTATTGCCAGTGTATTGTTAAATGGTTTTCCATACATTTGCAACGTATAACTTCGTTCATACTATGGACAACCATTACGTAGTTACTTATGTTAGATAAATATTACACCATAAATGTAATTTAAATGGTTTACGTAGCTTAATAAAAATAAAGAAAAAGTCATTTGGGTTTCATTTGTTGCACACTTTATTCAACGATTTAAAATCGATAAACTTTCGTCTTAAAATCTATTCTCAATAAGTACAAGTCGAAAATGTTACATAACTAACCGCATATGCGTCGCCAGGAGAGAGGGGCAAATGGGCAGGTGCCCCCCTCCCTAATAATTATACAATACAAAAATGTAAAAGATATATAAATCTACTGTGAATGATGATATTAATGGTATTTTACTTGAAATGTATAAAAAGGGTAAAAGGGGAGAAACGATCATGCCGAATAAACATACCAGGTCTGTCTACATCTGGACATTCACCTTGTTAAAGCGACATATAAAATACTAGCTTTCGCCCGCGATCCGTTCGCATGGTATTAAAAAAAAAGCGAATGTGAATATATGATCAAACCTATGTGCTCTTCCAATCTATTCTTAATTTCATTTTGATTCCGTTCAGCAATTTAGGCTACAAACTCTAACAGCCATCCATCCCTTTAAAGTTTCGCATTTATAATATTACTAAGATATTGCTTACATTCTATTACTACCAATGGAACTATCTATCATACTTCAAATCTTGATGATTATTCACTTTTATAAAATACTAGCTTTCGCCCGCGACTCCGTAAGCGTGGAATTAAAAAAAAAAGTTAGTAGCCTACGTGTTCTTCCAGACTATCCTCTACATCTCTACCAAATTTCACCGAAATCCGTTCAGCCGTTTAGGTTACAAACTCTAACAAACATCCATCCGTCCATCTAAACTTTCACATTTATAATATTAGTTAGAAGTTAGATTAATGGTGATTAAATTACTACTGGTATAAATTATTAAATATTAAGCCTTACAATATCAAATTTCTTACATATTTAAGGGAATGTAATCTTACAACTAGTAGAAGTGACTTAGCAACATTTCAGTATAATATAAAATAATAATCTATGGCCAGTCTTCAATTACATTATGTATGGTATGCCATGTTAATCCTGTGCCAGATGGTTTATGACCAGACGGCAATAAGACATGTCTAGTAAATGTCCTATCTTGGACCAACCCTAGAAATATCTTCCAATTCTTTCTTCTACCAAAATCGTACGGATTTCTATAAACATGTCTCGATGTTTTCCGTAATTTTGCATTTATATGGCTTTCAACACTTGTCTCTCCTCTGCTAATATTCTTCCCGTGCCACCTAACTAAAGTACCTAATGCACAAAATACTGATAAAGAAGTAACTGCCACAAAAATAACTGCTTTCCGTTTCCAAGGATGACTACTTATCAGTTGTAACTCTGATATAACTGGGATAGGTAGGTTATGTTCCCTCGGAGAGTTAATGGAATCATATTCTACAATTTCTTTAATAGGTATCAATGCTCCTGTTTGATTAATTCGGACTGGATGACCAATTAGATCAGGATCATTATGTGGAATGTCAGCACCTGCAATAAAAAAATATAACATGGATAAGACTACCAACAAGTGACAGTTTAACAGTGGTAGTGCCCGCTTTAACATCTTCGCACGAATGGGCCGGCTCGCCCGGTGTAATACCACGACCACACAGAAAACAGGCGTGAAGTGGCAGCAATTCCGCGCACAGTCTGATGAGTGTGGTGCCGGAGGCCTAACTTTAGTCCCTTTTCCTTTCCACCCTTTTCTTAAGGGGAAAGGATGGGAGGGAAAAGTGGATTTGACGGTGGAGAAGATGCATAAGAAGGGGAAATGTCCTCTTTATGTGCAGCGGTCGCTTTCCATTTCGGTGGATTTAGGTGGCCGCTTGCTCGTTTGTCACCTCGCATTATAAAAAGAAAAAAAACCTAATTAAAGAAACAATTTCAACATTAACAAATGTGTTAATATCAGTTTAATGTGATGTAGATGTTTACTATGCTGTATTATTGCTACAATATTTAAAAAAAAAAGATTATAATATCCATGTAGAAATGTTTAGTATTTCATTTTACTTACTTGGATCATACAACCATAGCACTTGAAATCCAATTTCAAATCCAAAAATTATTAAGAAAGATACTCCGGCGACCATATACACCATATAGAGAAAGAAATGTCTAGCATTGTAGTAGCCAACACAGTTGTTTAACCATGGACAGTGGTGGTCCATAGCAAGGATGCATCGATCACAAACTGAGCAGTGATGGGTCCGAGGTGGCTTTGGTGATATACATTTCTTACAAATACTGGCCGCTTCAGATATCAGTGTGCCCTAAAACAATATCATCATAAAAAAATACTTTGTTTTTTGTACTGTCAATGTTGATTGCATACTTTATTACAAACTTTACTTTTAACTTTAGAGAAATTAAAAATATAACTTATGTTTACTGCTACCTATCTGTGAAACTATTTAAAAAAAAATTCTGTAGTTTTGCACCTCATTACAACAAATGTCTAAAGTACTTACATGAGGGGGATAACCAGGGGAAGTAGTAACTCCTTTATAATAATGAAATATTATGTTAAGTAATAGCCAATTACCAAATAGTACTAAAAATATAGTAGTACATGGATCGCGTTGCCACCAAAATGGCAATCCAATCCAATATGCAATCAACACAACAGCTGTTGTCAAAACTGTTACACAGAAAACAAACACCTGAAAAAAATAAATTAAGTCTTTACATAAACACATAGGTAACTGATCCGAAAGTAATTTCAAATTCAATTGGTGTAGAAGCTTATTATTCCAATTGGGCTGCTTAAAACCTGACTATAGGATGTCTTACATAGAAAACTATTGCTACAGGAAGGGAAGGTAGCTGTTATGGTGAATATAAGAATAGCGAGCTAGGATGGCCTTTATGATCATCAATTATGAGATGGATAACATGGAGGAGCAGGCAGTCTTGTATGTATGCATACTTTTTATAAATAAAACACACCAGATACTTACTTGTCCTAGATTACCAGCAAAATTGTCCACTATCCAAAATATGGGTTCCAGCAAACAGTCAATCACATAACTTTGGCTCATGTGTTCATTGTATGTTAGAGATTGCATTGTCAATTTTATCTGAGCTAACTTCCATATTATGTACTTTCTAAAATGAAAAAAAAAATCTGTGAGAAGCACTAAACAGTATCATACTTATTCCATGCAGCATAAAATTGTAACTTACTTTATATTGGAAAATATTCCTCTCCATTGAAAACGCCAATTTATGGTAGCCATGACGGTGTTTGTAATAAACACTAATATATTATGAACTCTCGTGTTACTTTGCTAATCAAATTTACGTAATTTTACATGATTTCTTCTTTTGGGACTTCTAAATTTCATTAAATAATTTACAAATGTAGAAAATGCTATCCAAAAGCATGCTTAATTCCACCTAGTTAATAAATCAAAGACTTGCAAACCCTGCAATAAGGAGAATGGGAAATTTGTCATCCTCGAAGATTTGCAGTTAATACATAATACTTACTAATTATTTATATTAAGAGATTATTAACATCAACAATTTAAATTTCGCAACTTCTATGTTTAACAGTGACCAGTGACAATCACTGTTGTCAATCAATTCAATTGTCAATGTCTGGTCTGACATTCCCTGTCAAGTTATTCGACAAGGCAATGGCAATTTATGTGCTGTTTAGATTTCGTGCAAATTATGGCATTCGGAAAAAGGTTGAACTAATAACGTCAACTTGAAAGCGTCATTCATCATATATCAACCAATGGGAGAATAAAAATGTTACCTTTTTAATTTCTGGAAAATATCACATAATGAGTTGAGTTGTTTGGTTTACTTAAATTAGGACCACGGGTATGACGACACTAACATTCAATGTTATAAAGAGAAAAAATAGTTGTATAAAATGTAAATTAAACTTTTAGTTTTTAAATCACCGTGAAATTTATGTACGCGTATTAATTTAAATATTGAACGATTACTACGAGAACTGAGTTTATAAGTTTTCAACAAAGACGAATTTGGCTATAAGTTAGAAAATTTTGATTTGTTGGTAACCCCAAAAACTGGTTGGTGCCCATCTGTATTAGACCGTAGCGCCCTCATGACATTAAGGGCAAGCTATAATTTAAAAAATCTCGTGGGTTTGTTTGTCTTTAGATTTGGTGATATGTCATGATAGTTACAGTTTATTATAGTTATCTGTTATTTACTCTTTGGTTTGGTGTTACGAATGTTCTTGTCTGATTCTGACGGAATTCGCTCGGGAATAATTTGGAATTTTGGAAATAACTTGCATTAATTTGTCTCTGTACTTGCGTCTTACGTACGTTTGTTGAAAAGTAAAACCATTTCGATTGAGAGTTTACGAGTACTCGGCGAGACGTATACTTTAGTGTCGGTCTCAAATACTCCACAGTTTGAGTGGTTTGTCCTGATTAAGTTCGCAGTAATAACATAATAGTCCAGTCAGTTATTGGCGACAAAAAAGCAAGAGTTGTTGTTTTAACAAATATATTCCAAACACTAATTTCAATGGAATATCTTTTGTGAACGAATACTACCTACTTTCAGTATATAAGAGGTATTTATTGTATTTTTCCGAACTAAAGACATTGTATTGTGACTATTCTTGAATATATTAATGCGAACGCAATATAGGTGTAGTGTTTTAAACGTATGCAGTACGAGTTGAGAATTGAATACTTTGAATATTGTGGTTTACGAATTTTCAAATTAGTGTAATATGTATTTTGCATTTGCAGAAGAATTTCAAAAGTAACCATGGAAGACGACAGTGACGATAAGGATGATACAAAACGGTACGTTCTGGAACTAAATTGGTTTTGTTCTTTTAATAGCAGCTTTTGTTTCCCAAAGTATATACAGTGGAGTAATGATCAAACAAAGATCCTCTTATCTGAACCACACCCGCCTTTCCTATCTGCAGATGTTCCTAGATGTTATCCTCGCTGCTCTCTGCCTCTGTAATTGTTAATGCTACTGTCAGCTACTGATTGCCACTGGAGAAACTAGTGCTTGAATTGATAGTAGAATTATCATGAGTTATTTAAATAAACTTTTAAATACCTGTCTTTAAAAAGTTTGTGACTTAGTGGCTCGTCACCTAGTAATCTTGCCTGGGCAGATTTAGAATGGTGACTTTTATTCATTACTTATTAAGTGTGTATTGTTAAATCAATGCAGAACAGAAATTATTAGAACCAACCTGTTTTCCGAATACCTATTTTCCCTAACTAGTTTGGATGACTGATGCTTAATCTTAAATAACATATAAATGTTATAATATTACATGATAGAATTATAAAATGTGTATAGACCCTATGTTGAGATAATTGTTTAGTTTTAAAAGTTTACAATATTCAAGCCTTTAAACTTGTCTGGCGAGTTCACTTGCATAAATAGAAATAAGTGGTTTACCATGTCAATTTAAAATTATCAAATCAATTAAGGGTAGGCAATGCATCTGCAATTACGGATGGTTATGTGCAACGGTCACTTTCCATTTCGGTAGATTTAGGTGGCTGCTTGCTTATTTGCTACCTTTTGTTATTAAAAATGAACTATATAGGTATTAGTCCACTGTTGTATTATTTTACAACATACATTTTTTATGTAACAGGAGAACACGCAACTTGAGCGAGAAAAAGCGTCGGGACACCTTCAATATGCTAGTAAATGAGTTATCCTCAATGGTCACAACCAGCAATAGGAAAATGGACAAATCTACAGTTCTTAAGTCTACAATATCTTTTCTAAAGAATCATAATGGTATGTTACATGTATATTTTGTTCTATAGTACCAATTCTTTCATTTATCAGAAACTGACTGGTCCTTTGTATTGTAGAAGTGACTGTCAGATCTAGAGTTCATGATGTCCAAGAAGATTGGAAACCTGCTTTTCTATCCAATGAAGAATTCACATATTTGGTGCTTGAAGCCTTGGAGGGTTTCGTTATGGTGTTTTCAGCAACTGGGCAAATTTACTATGTCTCTGAAAGCATAGCTTCATTATTGGGACACAACCCGGTAAACATTTTTTATCTTTATTTCTTCTACTAACAATTCATTAAATTGGGAATTTAATTATATATTTTATTTAATTATAATACTGTTTTAGGCTCATTTGATAAATGAGAGCATTTTTGATTTGGCATTTGAGGATGATCGGCCAAATTTGTACAGTCTCCTTCAGAATCCCAGGACTGCTGTTGATCCTTCTCAACCTTTTTTACGAGGTTAGTTAATGGTTTCTTGATATCATTTGTGCAGATTATACAAACATTTTATATAACATAACAGAAGCGGGTCTATCCCTTACTATGGGGTACTAATGAGGAGTATAAATGCCAAATATGTTAACACATACTATACTATTATTCTTAGTGTCGCAAGCAAATGATCTAGGCTAGTTCTAAGGGGCGAGCAGCTATCATTAAATTAGTATTTGTTCATATCTATTTTACATATTTGGATATTATTGTCCAATGTTTTATACTGTTTTAATATTATGCAATTCCCAATGCTGCGCTTAAAATTAATGTTATTCATTTGTGTAAATTTTAACTAAAAGTTAACTTCTCAATATACTTAAACTGGTAAGGTTGAAAGACCTTTAATTTTGCATTTACACACCAACTTCAATTTAGCATACTGGTTATGTACCTATCTTATTGACATGGTGTAAACGTTTCTTGTGAAATAATAATATTGTATATTCTATTAACCTAACTGCAGACATTTTCTCATCAAATATTGCGTCTCACTTGCATTGATTTCTATGTGATAATCTGACCTCTTCAATATTGTGTCATATATTATTTTAAACATATTTATAAACTAGCATTCGCCCGCGACTCTGTCCGCATGGAATTAGTAGAATTAAAGTAAGTAGTCTATGTCTTCTTCTGGACTATATACTACATCTATGTCAAATTTCATCAAGATCCATTCAGCGGTTTAGACAGAAAATTGTAACAAACATCCATCCATCTTAACTTTCGCTTTATAATATTAGTATGAATCAATAGTAAGAGACTGCATTATGCGAATTGAAGATGTTTCTATGATCTATGTATAGCTGTGGATATTTCGGTAATGATGATGTCAATGGCATGCAATCGCTTATTTAATTATTTATTAAATAAAATCAGTACCAAACAAATGAAATTCGGTAATAGCTATCATTTCATTGCAGGCTGCTTATTTACTATTATGTAACGCTGTGCGTAAGCCTCACTACATATTCAGTTCTTTTTTTCTGAAAAGAAATGCATGTAGAACGATATCGAATGTATATGTCGCCGATTGATTGTTAACATAGTTTGTAATCTTAAGAAACATGCTTTTTGTAAGTTTCCACAATCGTTCTAAGATATAAATATAATACATTATGTACATATGTGTATATCGATAAAATTAAATTGCCTAATATGCCCTTATCATAACTGCATAGTAGCTTCATCAATTTAGATAATACTAGCTTTCGCCCATGACTCCGTCCGCGTGGTATTACAGTGAGTAGCCTGTGTTCTTCTAGCCTATACTCTACGTCTAAGCCAAATTTCATCCAGAACCGTTCAGCCTTTTAGGCTACAAACTCTAACAAACATCTATCCATCCTTCCAAACTTTCGCATTTATAATATTAGTAAGATATATTTTTATATGTATATAAAATACATGTATGACCATTCACTACAATGCCGACATACAATGCCTTTTGATTCATTTAATGTACAGGATGTCGTACTGTGTAATTTATTGGGGAGCGTCTGGATCAGTGGATTCAGAAAGGCTGATGACCTGTTTTGTTATCTTACTTGCTTAATATTATAAATGAACTAGCTTTCGCCCGCGACTCCGTTCGCGTGGAATTAAAAGAAACAAAAGAGAGTAGCCTCTGTGTTCTTTCAGACTATCCTCTACACCCATACCAAATTTCATCGAAATTCAGCCGTTTAGGCTACAAACTCTAACAAACATCCATCCATCCATCTAAACTTTCGCATTTATAATATTAGTAAGATAAGAAGTAAGATAAATGTTTGTTACTACGTAGCGTAATATCGGCTCAACGGATGTCATTGATTTTGGCATATTCATAGAAAATAATCAAAAAGGGCACATGAGCTGTGTATTAAGTGGAATACTAATCTATAATTATAAATTAACCTTAAAGTAAATAAGAGGATATTAATAACATTGAAGCGATGTCGCGGGCAACAGCTTTATTTGTAGCTCTGAAACGTCTATTCCGTATTACAGAATATTATGCAATTCATGTATATGTTAACATAATGGTCCGATTAAAGGTGTGAGTATTAAGACCGTCCTTCGTAACACGTGTTCGGACGCAATGTTCGCGTGACCGTTCACGTGCGTTATTTGTAAACTTTATGTAGATGTGAACTTTCTTAATTTCAAATCCCGGCTTATTTTCGTTCCTAGGAAAATATTGAGCAATTTATAATTCAAAGTAGTTTGTTTCGATAGTTGTGCAACGTCACGTTTGGAGGATTAATATTTATACATATCGTTGCGGTTTTTACTTGACCCTTGTTTACACTGCCAAAACATGTATGAAACATTTCTATCCTTTTTATTCTATTTCATGCGACAGAGATAATTATTTATGTAAAGGTGTTAGGCACTTCTAATTCGCGGTTACAGCGGTAAAATAAAGAATTATTTTTAAACGTAACAATTATAATAAATGGCAACATTTACGTATATTCCAGAAAACGAGATCAAGTTCCAGTGTCATCTACGGCGCAGTACATTGGATTTCAGAGATGAAGCAACCTATGAACTTATAGAATTCAATGGACATTTTCGTAAGTAATTATTACTATTACATTAATATAGTTACTGTTAACGAAGCCTAGCACCGGCTTATTAACGAAGTTAACGAAGACAAGCCAATGTTTGCCTTCGTTAACAAGTTTAAATTCCTGTAGCTTTGTTTAAACGCCGAGGAAAAAAATATTTTTGTATGTAAACTGTAATGATTCGGTTAAGGAAAATAAATTCTTTATTAAGGTTAATTGGGTTTTACAAAACTACATATTGATGTATTTTAAGAACTTTTTGCTATTTGTTCTTTGTAGGTACAAACATGGAGCGTAACGAAAGTAACGAACTATCTAGATATCAAGAACATGAGTCAAGGTAAGAATAATACTCTAATGTCAGGTACTAAAATAGCTTCTCAGCGTGGTTCAGCGCGGCCGTTACGTCTAAAGTGTCAGACTTTTAGAATAGGAGCTCCCTTAGGGTTACATTAATTTCTTTTTATATACCTAATGAGTTCGAGTAATTTTATCCCTGTTCAGATTTTTATATACTTATAGTCGAGCCGCCTCTAGTGATTGTGTCGCGACATGGTGATTGCGCTTTTATAGGTAAAATTGGCGCTCGTTATTACTTGATTTGACTGAATGGTATTTATTTATAGATTTGTATTATAGATACAAGTAATTTCGAATAATTTCGCCCTTTTCATATGGTAACGTTTGTAATTTATTATGTTTCAAAAAGCAATTCTTAGATATGTTCATTTCGTGTCTGATTTAACACATACGAATTATGCGAAAGAAGACATTTGCACGGTATTTTCTTGGTAGTAAGGTTTTTTTTATTTCGCACTGAGGTTTATAGGAAATAAAGTGACGAAACAAATTCTATGAACATGGAGCGTTGCTCAGTTTGAAAACTATTTAGTTAAAGTTTCATGGTTTTAAATGCTGGTCACGTTGACGCGGCTTATGCCCGTTTGACAATCCACCCGCTTAATTTCTTAGGCTAAAATTTATCCAACGTTCTTACGGCGAAAATATGATCAACCAGCACGCTTCTGCAATACAAATCAAAGATTTGTTAAGTTAAACATTTTGCATTGACACGGCGTAAAAACTAGGTCACCTTTAAATTAGTGGGGTCTTTTTTGACAATGTGTCGTTTCCAGGTTGCTGTTTGTGTGTACCGGTCGGCTCTACACACCACAATTAATTCGTGACGTGTCTCTAGTTGATACGAATCGGAATGAGTTCACTTCACGACACAGTTTAGAGTGGAAGTTTCTTTTTCTGGACCATCGTGCTCCGCCTATAATCGGATATTTACCGTTTGAAGTGCTTGGCACCTCTGGCTACGACTACTACCATTTTGACGATCTTGAAAAAGTCGTTACATGTCATGAAGCATGTAAGTAATGTTTTTATGTTGCAGTGTGATATTGTTTTCTTTTTTTCATTAACGTAATAATTCGCTATTTCTATTAAACTTCGATGTCAATTATTACAGTACCAGCTTTACCCCGCGATTGCGTCCGCGTGGAATTAAAAAAAAAAACAGAAATGAGTAGTCTACGTGTTTTTCTGTACTGTGCTCTATATATGTATCAAATTTCATCGAAATTCGTTCAGCCGTTTAGGCTATAAACTTACAAACATTCATCCATCTACAGTACATTATATAATAGTATGATAATCAGTTATCGACATATAAAATTGATTGAAGCTAGGTTAATCGTTATAAAAGGAACTAGCTTTCGCCTGCGACTCCGTCCGCTTGGAATTACAGAAAACGAAAGTGAGTAGTTTATGTATTCTTTCAGAGTATTCTCTACGTCGATGCCAAATTTCATCGAGATCCGTTAAGGAGTTTAGGTTACAAACTCTAACAAACATCCATCCGTCTAAACTTTCGCATTTATAATAATAGTAAGATTAGTATATAGCTATCATTTTATTTATGCTGGACATAATTTATAGTGATGCAAAAAGGAGAGTTGACATCGTGCTACTATCGATTCCTCACCAAGGGTCAGCAGTGGATCTGGCTTCAGACTCGTTTCTACATAACATACCACCAGTGGAACTCGAAACCTGAATTCGTCGTTTGCACGCATCGGGTAGTAAGGTAAGCTTCTTAATTATTTGTTAACAACATCTTTTGATGTTAATTTTCACACATATTTAAACTTTTAATAGTCTAATAAGGCAAGCGGCCACTTAAATCCGCCAAAATGGCGAAGCGACCACTGCCCATAGACATTCGCAATTGCAGATTCGTTGCCTACCCTTATACGACGGAGGAGGAGATGTTTCCCCTTTTTATGCGCCTCCTCTACCGTCAAATCAACTACCCTATCCAATCCTTTCCTTATAAGAGGGTGGAAAGGGAAAGGGACTAAAATTGGGCCTACGGCACCACACTGAACTACGTGGAATTGCTTCCACTTCACGCCTGTATTCTCTGTGGTTGTGGTATTACACCAGACAAGCCGGCTAATGCATACGTAGATGTTAAAGCGGACTCTACTACTGTTAACTATAGTAACAGCAGATCAGTATTTAAATGCATAGTTCACCTTAAAACGGTGTATTTTTAAATCTTTAAAATAATGCCACTCTAAATTTAATGACATCAAACAAATTAAGAATTTTGTCTTCTTGAATATACGTTAATTGTAATTATATATGCAGTTACGCCGATGTTGTGAAGAGTACGAAACAAGAACAAAGTGAGACGGAAACAGCGATAGAAATGGAAGCTAATCAAAGTGGGAAAGAGACGGCAACTGAGGCTGGTATGGTGCCGTTACCATCTCCTACGTATTTGTCGGAAACCGGGGATACGTATGGTGGATCTTATCAAACTATGTCACAAGTATGTTATGTGTACATTTTGATTTATGTATTTTCGTTTTTTTATCTTAATCGATTATTCCTGTGGTCCTTCATTTTTATATTTTGGGGTAATTGAGAATCTTATGACTCCTAATGTCACTAAAATCAAAACAGATTTTAGAATTTCGACTTCAGCTATAAATGTATCCTAAATGTTGATATTGTTAAGTTTAAATAGCACAAAAATAAATTTTTCATACCTCTTAACTTAAAGTTGCATAGATGTTTGTTGGAAAGTATCTTAACTATCACGGATTATGAAAAAAGCCTGAATGTAAAATAATCTAGAAGAACACAGACTACTATTTAACTAGTGAAAGCTAGTTTTAGATTAACAGATAGTTATTTATCACTAGCTTTCGCCCGCGACTCGGTCCGCATGGGATTAAACAAAAATTAGCCTATGTATTCTTGTAGACTATCCTATGTCTGCCAAATTCCATCGAGATCTGTTCATCCATTTAGGCTGCAAACTATCAAACATCTAAACTTTGGCATTTATAATATTATAGTGTGTCTAAATAAGATAGATTAGCTTGATAAATGACGCATATGAAGTATCCAATTCAATTTGTATGAAGGGAAATACAATACTTAGTAGACAAGTATCGTAGTGACGAAACAAACACACGTAGCGAACAATTTTGAAATACCAATAATCGGTTTAAATAATTATCGAACTCAACTAAAATTATTATTTTCTTATAAACTAATTTATAGGACAATTCTAGTATTGGTTTTATTGTAGAGAATGCTGTTATTTCTGTCATCGCTAAGATGACAGAAATAACAGCGAAATCGAATTCGATTACGGACGGCTGTAGTAGTAATAAACATTTATTTACTCTCATTATTTGTTATGGTCATTATTAACTTGAGAAAACAGTTTTTTTTTTTAATTCATAAGTTATAACTATAAATCTATCGATTCCAACTTCTATAAGAATAAAATCGAATATCGATAAGATTCATGACTGATTTTACACAACCCTTCCGTACTAAATTTGAAGTGAATTGTCAAACTAATCTAAATTATTTAGACACATTAAAGTTGAATTTTTATTTACTTATTGTATTTCAGCCGGATTCTGTGAAGTCAGCATCCGGTAGTACTAGTGGTACTGTGACGACTGTATGCACGGCGGGGACCACTTCCTCCTGGCCTCGCGGTAACCAGAGGTACATCGGGTCTGATAATGGATCTCTATCAGGAGAATCCCGATCCTCGCAAAGAAATACTGTTAGAGAGGTGAGAAAGACACTTAACACTTAAATGCACCATTTTTTCGTTTTAAATACCATAAATTGAAACGGGTAGTAATTTGAACGTAGCATGAGAGATAAATAAACAAAAAAATGATTTTTCAAAATAATCTATCGCGTGAGGAAGAAAAGACTGATGTATTAATGCATGCATTTAATAAATGTTTAGAGTAGACGTAAACATTTTTTTTTCACCGGTAACTTTGTACGGTTATATCTCAATGTCTTTAACAAGTCACGATTCTTAGTGTTTAAATTATTTGTTTGTTTGATTTTGTCTACCGGACACCAGTAGCGCTAGTAAGATTATGTGAAAAATGTCTAAGTGAAGTGTCAACTATGCTTCTTCTATAGTTTTTTTAAATCTCTTTGGGTAACACCCACTATGACACTATTAACATGACATTAAAATTGTTAAGAAAAAGTAGTGTTAATTTAATTTAAAAAAAAGTAACTCGACTGACTTTAATAGAAAAACGAAATTATATGAATGACGAGCATAAACACACAACTTTGTAATGTAGGATGTCAGCAAGCTCTCAACATATATTCAAATAACTATTTATTTAATAAAATGCCTATATATTTCCACACTGTTTAATTTTGGGGGTAAATAAATTGGAAAAAACCGTCATGCGAAAATGGGACATAAACTACAAGCTGACATCAAAGAAGCAAGATTGCCATAGCAATAATTCTTAGCCAACTTCAAAGGGTCTTTGTTGTCATTTTTTGGTTAGAATTTTGGTAATTGTAAGCTTCAAATAAAGTTTTTATAACTTGATGCGGATGGAGTAAGGGAACAGCTAGTTTATGTTTATCTCGTATATACGAAGTCCAAGATACGAAATTATTGTAACGAGCCTTGATGGTAATGTGCATAATATGAAGTGTCGGTGACTCAGGGGTTTAACACTTAACTTGTAATCTACTTGTCCTGGTTTCGAATCCCGCCATTTGCTAATGTTTAGATATTCCAAATTCACATGTATATAATTTTCCCGACGTTATTACGGTGAAGGGAAACATCGTGATACTGCACATATCGGCGAAGAAATTCAAAGATATGTGTAAAGTCAACTTGCAGGCCAGCGTTGTTGACTAAGGCCTAATTACTAAATTATGGGGGAGCCTTAGTGGGGACGTATAGTGAGTTGGTGATTATGATGTGCAGACGCACAAGCGCTTGGAGCCGACGCTGGTGCCTCAGTACGGTATAGGCGCCCAGTACTTGGAGCCTGCGCCCTACGTAGGCGCGGTCGGAGTCCCCGGAGTCCTGCCTGTCTCGTTGCCACCGCTACCAGTTATAGTGTCGCCGGACCAAACTCAAATTCAGGTGAGTTTCGCGAAGACCGGATTATATCTCTTTTACGCAGAATTTTTATCGTGTTTTTTTTTTTCTTCTTTTTACGTAATATTAAAGGAAAATATAGATTCCTTATAAAGTAATGAGTAATAGATTTTTTTTTATGTTTTAAGTACATTTATATTTATTTTTATATGCAAATGTAAACTGCAACGCCTATTTGACCTAACTAGTACTTTTTTTGTCAATTAAAAGGTGATAAATTCCATAAAAATAAAAAAAATTGTATTTTTTTCAACTTTAAACAGAAGTATAGCCATTTAAAATGCACATTTATATTCGATACCGAGACAAATAGCTGTGTTTCAGAGACCTTACTAAAAGTAGACAAGAGAACTTTAGTACAAAAGAAATTACTTCAAATTTTAACGATACTGGAGTTCGGGAAAAAAATATTCGGAAAGTCAAATCCAAAATTTTGTAAAAAACAGAATTTCGGTGTTTGCAGTAACATTTGCATTTATATTTTGACAAGGTATTTGACTTTATAATTTAAATGATGAAACGCTGATTGAACTTTTATAATCTTTTTAGACATCAAGTGCTCCACAAATGTGGAATTACTGGAATTATGACTAAAATAACAAAACCACTCACACCCAATTTATCTGATCAATTTGGTATGATCAGCATTCATTAGCTTCACTAGTAACTAGCTTTTTCAACAACTATACAAGTTCACATGCATGTTCTAAGTAACCGTAGATTTTCACTGCCGAGATTACACGTTTAAAAAATGATGTAAAAAGTTGTACCAGCATTTTGACAATCTACGGTTACTCTTACTAAGAAAAATACTTTCCTACCTTATTCTCCCATATATGCATTCAATATTAACTTTGTGCCTCCTATTTTATTAATTTTATGTACTTTTAAATCTTAATAATTCTATGTCGTCTATTTCTTTTTTCACATATTCAACATTGGCTTTTAATTCTAAATGTGTAACCCTATTTTACTTTTTACTGCTATTAATAATTTTATTTACAGGCTTAGCTTCTTATAAGCTTATTTACAGTGTACTTTTATCCAGGAATAACAATTTATATTTAAAATAATCCATATTTAAAGTTCTCTATTAAATTGTATAGATGGGGACATAGAAGTTGTCACTATTGCCATTATTTGCTTCGATTTTCAATACTCAATTCATATGAGAATTACACAACTACAATAAACACACATATTAATACGTTATTCACACAGACATACAGTATTTCTAGAATATAGGGAAACTTATTTAAAATAAATATAATATGTTACATTGTATAGATGTGTATAGATCATAATGGTGGAGCACTGAACGCCTTCCGTTCGTAGACAGGCATTAAGGGTGAGTTGCATCATATCGCCGGTTATCGTTATTGTTAAAATTAATTCTAACGGTAACATTTACAGTAACCTTAACATTAACTTACTAACGTTGCACCGTGACATCTATTGTAAAAGTTATAGTAAATAGGGTTACAAGTGATAAAACACATTATCTCCCAAATATTTACATAAGTAATATTTTTTACATTGACATCATTTAAATTTAAATGTCAGGAAAATGTCTTAAAGTCCGTTGTCATTACATAATTTGGAAATTAATTCGTCGGTTGGTTACAATCGACGGTTATTATAAAATAAGATGGCAAGCACGAGCAAAACTTTTAGTTTTTTAGTTTTTAGTAGAACTCCACGTATAAAAACTAAGGCATAACGAAGAAAAACATCACTTAGAACTGATTAAATTAAATTTAGAAATATATATCTTAAAATCAAAAATAAATAATTAGTCTTTATTAAAATAGGTTTTTATTTATGTCTGAACTAGTCTACGAAAATAGTTATTAATTAATATATTTCTGTTACATTCATCATTACCCGAGGCTAATGGACTATATATTTCGTCTTCATCTGTGACAGCCTCTTCTTCATGCTGTGAAAATGGCATAGGGTCACTGACTTTTCTGCAGATGTTATGTAGCACAGCCATTGCAACAATGATTGCTTGAGCTTTTACTGGGTTAGTCCTGAGTTCCCAAGATAAAGAAGGGAACCTTTTTTTCCAACAGCCAAAAGAAAGTTCAATAATATTTCGCGTACGAATATGACTTTCGTTGTAAAGGCGTTCAGCCTCCGTGGTAGGATTGCGTAAAGGTGTGAGAAGATATGGTTTTACACCATAGCCTTTGTCGCCCAGCAACCAGAAATCATCATCAGAAAGTCATGGCAGCTGCCTGGCCAACGTGCCAATATGTTATAATAAATACATAGCTGAATTACATATTATTTGAACATTAAGGGAAAAAGAACTGTTTTCTATTTCTGTAGACTTCAGCATCATTTCCACCTGGAGATTCTATTGTTATATGGGTACAGTCAATAGCACCTATTGTTTTTGGAAACGCACAGATTTCATAAAATTTTCTGGCCTCATATTCCATAGCTTGCCTATTT